CAGGAGTGTGTTGTTTAATCTCCATATGTTCATGTGGTGATTAGGGCTTCTTCAGGTGTTGATTGTAAGCTTTATTGCATTGTGGTGTGATAGAATGCATGGAATTATTTCAGTCTTTTTGTATTTGTTGAGGTTTGTTTTGTGCCCCAGTATGTGGTCGATTTTGGAGAAGGTTCCATGTGGTGAAGAGTAGAAAGTATGTCCTTTGGTGCTTGGGTGGAATACTCGGTCGATGTCTGTTAAGTCCACTTGATATATGGTATTGTTTAATTCAGATGTCTCTCTGTTAACTCTGTGCCCTGTTGACCTATATAATGGAGACAGTGGGGATATTGAAGTCCCCTACTATTAATGAGTTGGGATTAATCTGGGTCTTCAAGTCCTGTAGTATTGTTTTTATGAAGTTGGGTGCACCAGAGTTTGGTGAATATATGTTCATGATTGTAATATCATGTATGAGTTTGTGCATTCTGTCACCATTGCTCTAAGTTTATATGAACAAGTTCCCAGCTGCCTGGAAGAGTCTGCTCCCTTGTAGACATCCACCACCCCTGGCTCTTACAGTCTTTCCACTCCCTTTTCCACAATGGTCCCTGAGCCCTGCATAGCAGAGGTTTAATATAGGAGTCCTAGCCAGCAACACACTCTCTTCAGTTTCTTATTCTCTACATTTTGACCAGTTGTGGCTTTATGTGTAAATCAGCCTCTGTTACATGTGGAAGTTTCAGTGATGGCAGTTGTGAGATTCATTAATGATCTCACTACCTCTGTTCCATGAGCTTTGAAAGTGGGGATTGCACTCTAGATGTGTCCCTTAGGGCTGGGCATCTCACAGACATTTATTTTCTGTATTTGATCAGCTATGGAACTCTATAAAAGTCTCCATCTATTGCAAAAAAAATCTACTTTGATGAATGTCCTTCAGCCTATTTATATCATGGAAGATTTTTCTTTCACCTTTGAGTGTAATGGACATTTTGGCTGGGTATAGTAATCTGGGTTGGCATCCGCATCTGTGGTCATTTAAAACTGGGAATACTTTGGTCCAGGCTCTTCAGGCTTTCATAGTTTGCACTGAAAAGTCATCTGTAATCCTAATGGGTTTTCCTTTATATGTGATTCGTTGTTTCTCTTTTGCAGCTCTCAGTACTGTCTCTTTGTTCTGTACACTTAGTGTTTTTACTATGATGTGCCGTGGAGAATTTCTTTTCTGGTCCTGTCTATTTGGTGTTCTATGTGCTTCTTGTATTTGTATGGGCATGTCTT